TCGGGGGTTGGTCATTTTATTTTATCATGAATATTTTTAAATTTTTTGTAGATGTGAACTTAAGAGAATATTGGACACCCGAATCTTGGTCTCAATACTATTTTTAGAAAAAAACAAAGAAAAAGAAAAGAAGTATTTAGATGTGACATTGCGATTAAGCTATCTCAACCATCCATTCAGATTAGATGGCTTGGAGATGAGGGATGTAGGTAAAATATATAGAGGTGGGTCCATATAGTAAGCTTTTCCAAATCATTCGGGAACCGCCCCAAGTCTACGTCCAAGTTAAAAGAAAGGATAAAGTTTATATGAGATTGTAACCTTGTAGTGTAGAAAAAAAGGCACGGCTCAAATATCCATCGGAAATGGATTGTTTTGATCAGTGTTCGAAAAATTGAACCAGCTTTAGAAACCGGCCAAGGGCATTATAAACAAATCCCTTATTTTTATGGGATTTTATATAAATTTATTTGAATTTTCTTTAAAAAAATACTTGGCCAGATCACTAAAACCGGCCGAATCCGAAACTAGTCATTGACCGGTTTCGATCTAACCAGGCGGTTCCAGTTTGAACCGCCCAATTTTGCAAACACTAGTTATGATGCTTAAAAACCCTATAATTGATCATCTCGAGGTCGAGATGTATAGATATTGGAAAAAAAGATGATATTGAAATCCAAAAATAGTACATCTTGTAGTTCATTATCTAAACTGTCCATTCAAGGTTTTCATATGTTTGTAGATTTGCTCGATCTATACCATTTTTTGAATTTCAAATTTCATAATTATTCTTCAAGCTATCGGATTTTGGACATCAAAATTACATATTTGGATGAACTTTGAAGATGAACTTTACTTGGATTGTGTAAGGTTGATATTTTATACAAACCAGAAAAGGGTCAGGTTTGCATAAGGTTGCAACCTTAAAGAATCAAAGTAAGGTGCAACTCGCAACTTTGTCAGAAGATGAATTTGATGTTGAAAATTGTTAGGATTACCCAAAAATTAATTTTATATCTCATCATAGAATGTTAACTCCAAAAATAGTTCAAATCAAAATAATTTATAAACTAATGATGATCTAAATAATGTATCGTAGAATTCTCAAAAAGTTGATAGCTTGTGTCATTTATGTGCTGGGAGAGAGTAAGAGATAGAGATAGACCTAGAAGCCAAAAGAGTTTCTACTCCTGCTGGAGTACACTATCCATTTATTCCCTCAGCCAAAACACATGTTAGGGATACTTTTTAGATATTAAATTTTAGGGATGTAATCTCTACAACACATACATTACGTAAACAAAAATTTCTCAAATCTCTCCATGTACTAAACGAACTAATGCCTTAAGATTGAAAAAAGATCATCCAATTTTGAAGGGCTAGATCTAAGTGTAAAAAAAACTCAAAATTCGAGTTTTTTTTGTTGAAAAAAAATCATATAGTAATTATCTTATGATGCCCAAAATTTTAGACTAAAAGATTCCCATCTAATTAGTGTTTTAAGCTAGGGAGTAGATGCACATAACACTCCTATGGGAACATAGTATACATGCTTCACCTAGAATGGGACTTTCGTTTTAAGGGAAAGCACAACGTTAAAGAGTGGAGGAAGGATAATGGTGAGGTTTGGTCTTTCGCAGATCCAGAAGGAGGATAATGGAGGACACAGAGTCATGGTTGGAGGCATTGCAGAGGACATAGGGCTCATGAAAAGTATTGTTGTGGGCCAGCGGGTGATTGAATCATAAAAGAAAATTGTTAAGACCTCCCTATGCTCCTTTAGTCCTCTAAGACGATTTCAGAGGCTTTGGAGAGTGATGCACAAAGTGAGATGAGTTCTAGACTGGTTCAAGCCAATAGAGCCATTTTGATATTCAATTACGATCTTCAAGCGAAACAAGTGATTAAAGAAATATTTTGGAGATTTAAAGGCTCTCTTATGTCCTTAGATCGGTGGACTCAAAATCCTATTTATCTTACTCGGAGAATGTATTTCTTAATATTGAATGGAAGGTCAAGCTTCCAGACAAATCGATACCTCAATTCCTTATCCTGAATGTCGATGAAAGCTACAGATTATGGTTGAGGACGACTCGATAGCCGGCTCTATACATAACTCTTCCAAGCCTTTGAATCACAAAGTCGACCCTGGTCCTTCTAATAAAGAGGAAGAAGAAGGTTGGGGAAACAGTTACTACAAAAGAGAAAAACAAATTAAACAATCTAAGTATCTAACAATAAACTCTTAGAAGAGGAGATTGACGTTTAAAAAACCACTAATGATTTGAGAAACGGGTAGGGGTTCGTCATCCCCACTAAATTACCTAAAAAAAATAAAATAACACAACTGACGTGTAAGAAGGACTGATATTTTGTTATTATGTTGTTTCCAAAACCATCTCACCAACTCTATGAGGAACTTTGATTTACAGATTGCCCCTTTTCAGATTTCGGCTACCATACTACACAAATGATACGTCTTACTCTTTTACCAAACCCGATCCATCCCAACATTATATTGTGACGATGCTCATGATTCTATATTTTCGACAATTACATGGATTAAAGCATTCTTTTCCCTTTGGTGAGTGTGTATTGCATGCAAAAATGACAGTATATATTCACTCTTGCGGCCAAAAGAACTAGTTTGGAAGATTTTTTAGATATAAAATTTTGAAAGCCAGCAAAAATCACAATATAATTATTTCCAAAAATAAACTTTTGATTTTGATTTTATAGGATACTTAGATTTGCTGGTAAAAAAGGCAGTTGGTATTTATTCAATCTCAAAACATTATTTTTCCATACACATACAAATTACATTGTTTTTTTCTTTTCGAGTTTATATTCTCAATAAATAAATAAATAAATAAATAAATAAATATATATATATATAAATAAACATAACATTTGTTTTTAATTTTAGGAGGCCATAGTCACTTTTGTCCATTGGAATGCAAATTAAATGGTTGGGAGTTATTGACTACGATTAAAGTTCAATTTTTTTTTTTTTTTAAAGTTAGCAAGATACCCCTAATTATCCAACTTGAAGTCGGATAGGTGTTTGTGACCTAAGAAAGGACAATGGTCTCAGCAACGGTATGATTCGAACTTTAAATCTGACCACTCAAGCAATATATAAAATTTTCCAGTGGGGCACGAAATCCTGTCGCAAATAGTCCATTTCTTGATACTCGTTACAACAAATTAGGTACACGGTTATGCCAAAAGATTTTATACTCCAATAGGAGTATACTGTATATTTATTCCCTTAGGTAAATTCCATTGAGGATTAATATTAGGACCTCATAGTCTCCTTATTTAGAATCTGTATGCATTTGAAAAGAATAGTGGGTCACCGTCCAATTTCAAGATGCCAAGATTTAAGTTTTAGAAAACTCAAAATTTAAAATTTTCTTTTTGGACAATTATCGACTAGTATTTTTTAAGTAGCTCCCAAGATTTTAAATTAAAAAGTTACTCCCAAGGAGGCCTTTTAACCAAGGAAGTAGATGTACACTATATGCCCTTGCAGGTGCAAAGTAATGTTTTGTGCTTGCAGAAGCAAGCTGACCATTTACTCCCTTACAAAACCAAGCTAATGGCGTTTTTAGGATCCCAATGTTTGGGAATCTATCATCTATTGCGTTTAGACTAACTATAGAAAAAACAAATTAAAAATTACATAAATTTTAGAATTAGAGTTGGGTAGATGAAGTGAAAATGTACATCTAAAATGTATGTGCCCGTTGCAAATCAATGAAATTGAAATGAAAGTTCTATAGGACCAACAATGCTCTTTAGGATGAAATTTTGGACGGTCAAAAAACAATGTATATCGAGAATGAGTGTAGCTGAGATGAAAGTGTTGAGATGGATGAATGACAATACAAGAAAGGATGGAATTCAAAATAAATACATACGAGAGGATTTAGGGGAAGCTTCAACATGTAATAAGATGTTAAAAAATAGACTTAGTTGGACTGGCTATATGCAATGTAGACCTAATATAGCATCGGTTAGGATGGATGATTTGGCTCACGTGGAACGTTGTAAAAGGATGAAGGGAACAACCAAAAAGATATGGATGGAAATAATGAGAAGAGATATAGTGACCTATGATTTGACTGAGATTACATACATCTATGTAGCCGATCCCAAATAGTTAAAATAAAGATCAAATAATGATAATGATGATTACATTGATGATTCTAGCAATATCCTATAATTAAATAAATACCATCCAATTTTTTGTTAGCAAGATCTAAGTGTTAAAGATATTTACTTCTTTTGGAAATAATCATTTCATGATATTTATCTTAAAATCTATTTTCATATCTAATTAGAAAATTTGTAATTTTAAAAATGGTCAAAATCAAGTAGATCTATAAATATATGAAAATCTTGAAAATGGACGGTTTAGATAATGTGTTGCAAGATGCACTCTTTTCGAGACTCAAAAACCTTTAGTTTTGATATTCATACATCTCAATGTCGAGATGATCGATTAGAGGGTTTTTTCAACATTAAAACAACATTTTCGATAGATTTTTGAGGTGCATATGTGATTCTACATTTGAAGATTGCAACCTTATATAAACTTTTCCCATATATAAATCCAAATTTTCGATCTTCAAAATTTTTTCTTGGTACATTTTTATAAAAAATATGGGAGAGCAAACAAACAATTTACTTGTGCAAGAGCGCAACATACGGTTAGTGACAATATATACATCAGGGCAAACCGGAGGACACGGTTTCTATAGTCCACGAGCTCACATGTAGAAATGCGGCCCCTTAGTAATTTATTTTTGAAATAGAATGTTTAGGGAATATATAATGTTTTAACATGGAGATTATTTATCTGCATAAATAAATGAATATTAAAAATTAGAAATGACATTTTTTGAAGAAAAATATTTGAATTGTTGATATTACTTCTCGACCCGATTTTGATGGACGGTGTAGATCTCCAGAAGTGGGGGGTTTGAACAATTTTCCTTAAAACGGGAATGGACCTTGATAAGAATTTTGGTAGGTTATAGATTCCATAGCTGAAAGTTGGAGGGAGAGATGCAGAGAGATATGGAGGTGCTGAGTACTCTGGGGGACTTCACGAGCAAGGAGAACTGGGACAAGTTCTTCACTCTTCGTGGCATTAACGACCCATTCGAGTGGTACGCCGAATGGTCCATTCTCCAAACCCCTCTCCTCAATCAACTCCAATCAAACTCCGCCAAACAAGAAGAGCCCATTCAAATTCTGGTTCCTGGATGTGGAAACTCCCGCCTTTCCGAGCAACTATATGATTCAGGTTTCCACTCCATCACCAACATTGATTTCTCAAAAGTTGTGGTCTCCGACATGCTTCGCAACCACATCCGCTCCCGCCCCAACATGCGATGGCGCGTCATGGACATGACCCAAATGCAGGTTCATCTCTCTCAATTTATAACTCGTCTTTCAGCTGGTAGTTTTTTTTTTTTATATTCCAGTTAATGTATGATTGTGAATTTCACTCGGGCAGGTTTACAGGGTGTGTCTAATTATTAATAATCCTTTTGAATTTGGTACTAGATTGATGATAAACAGTCGCTTGGCTGTTGGTTTAAGCTTTCATATGAATTTGAGTTTGGCTGGGGCAGTTTCAGTTTGTTAGTACTGTATTCTACGGCATATGCTATGCTTGTGTAAACATTAGTTTTCCTTTTAAACTATTGAATGATAGTTCTCTTACTCACTTCAATTTGTCAGTTTGCGGATGGGTCCTTCGACGTGGTTCTTGATAAAGGTGGATTGGATGCTCTGATGGAGCCACAACTTGGCCCAAAACTAGGGAGCCAGTACCTTTCAGAGGTTCAATCAAATATGTAACCTTTGGATGTTTCAGTTTGATCTATTATTCGATTTCTTACACTCTCTAAACAAAAGAAATTGGTCATGCAGTACTTGATTCTAGTTATGTATTGTGCGAGTCTTATTGGATGAATTTCTCGCTAAACAGGTAAAGAGAGTCTTGAAAGTAGGTGGAAAATATATCTGTCTCACCCTGGCAGAGTCTCATGTTATAGGTAAGCTTAATTTGCTTTAGATGTTGGAAAGGATATTTCTTTTTTTTCCTTTCCTGAATTGTTTTACATGGATATAGTTCACACTGTGGCAACAATTGGTGCTTGCGTTTCGGTTCTGAATATGAAATTGGATTTTATCCTCACTTTATGCATTATTTTTCGATGTGAAATTGTTCTTTCTCCTTGCACTCTAATTCCTCCAGATTTTGTATTTTTCTGTATAACTCTAAAACCAAACATATCACTTGTTTCCCTAAGATATTTTTCTATCTTATAATTGCTTTGTTGGTGTGAATATGTGTGTGTAACCCAAAATGCTCGTGTTGTTGAATGCTTATTTTTGTTGTTATAGAGTTGCTTTTATCGAAGTTCAGGTTTGGATGGCACATCAGTCTTGAGGCCATATTGAACAAACCATCTAACAAATCCAACTTCCAAACATTTCTTGTGGTTGTTGCAAGAGAGAATTCGAGCATAGTTTCTCCCATTGTTCCATCTTTTGACAGTGATTCTCTTGATTGCGACGGAAATCAGGTGATAATTTCCTTCTAAGCTTTAAATCAGACTTCTCATCCACTAGCAAGAATAAGACCTTTTTTTTTTCATGAATAATATATGTGCTTACTTTGGACATCAACTTTGTCTTGGGAAACATTTTCTTTCATTACTTTGAATAATCTATATGAAGCTTGATAGAACCATTCCCTGGTTTTTCAATGCAGATTCATGGTTTATTGAAAACAATTAATAGTGAGAACAAAATTCGTGCCGAATTCTCCTCAGATATTGATGTATTATATTCTCTAGAAGATTTGCAACTAGGAGCTAAAGGGGATTTAAATCGACTTATCCCTGGCCGTAGATTTTCTCTTACTTTGGGGGATTTTGCGACATCTCATTTCAGCTACAAAGCCATACTAATGGACTCCAAGCAACCCTCTGAGGCTGAGCCATTCCTATATCAATGTGGGGTTTTCATTGTTCCCAAGGTGAGAGATATGTGCTCTTCAAGTTGTTTGTTCCTTGCCAGTGGTGACAGCACCATATAACTTAAAACTGAATTTGTTTCTGTTTCTGAGAACAAAATAACCAAATATCAGTAAATCCAGCCTGATTACGAATAAAATGACGACCAGTTGTGGAGCTGATGCGGAAACAAAATGAGGCTGCATGAAGATTTTTATTTTTATTTTTTTTTAAAATGATGTGGGCAATAATTCTCATATGTGCTGTCTTTCAAACAAGTAAGAAAAAGAATATGCATGATATCAAGTCCAATACACATCAAATATGATGACCCTCCACTAAACATCAATATATTGTGAGACCAGATTATATCTTGCCATTGGTCTACATATTATGCCATTAAGACCTATATTATCAACATATACAAGGGAAACAGCAAACATATCTATTACTCAAATACACATTACTGGACGAACAATTGTTTCATGCGGACTGGACCGCATTTCTACAATATGCGGTCCAGAGGTATAAAGCATTTATCTTAAAGATGGATGCAAATAGGTGGTCCATGTACAAACAATTGTAATTAACGAACCAAATGTTTTCTTAATATAATTATTATTTCTAGTTTTCAAATTTTTTTTTTCTTTTCATATTCATGATCTCCATGTTAAAGATTATATATTCTCTAAAAATTAGGATCAAATTATATATAAAAAATATATCTATTTCCAAGCCTGCATTTCTACAATATGCGCGCTGGCCGCATGCTAATCGCATCCTTGCTGGACCCCCTAGGTGGGAATTGTCCAAAATCCTCTAAATGCAGCTCTAGGCATTTTTTTTAAGCTCTAAGATGCCTTCTTTGCAAGTAACAACATGTCTACCTAAGTCCAAGGGGAGGCTGCATTAAGACCTCATGTAGATTTAAGTGATGGAATGCATCTTTGTTGTTCCTGTATAATAGGAGAACCGTGAGCATAAGTTTTTCCCTTTTGTATTCGTAAATTATATCGGAAGGAAGAAGAGCTGCTGAGAAACATTTTTTGTTGTCGAGAGAATTAACTCTTCTTGCTTTTTTCCATCTATCATTTCTGGCTTCTTTTTATGCGGAACGCTATTAGGTGATTCAACGAAATTACTAGTGAAGCAAGAAAATAGATTGACAAGTGAATGACATATCCGGAATGCGATGAGGTGACCCAATGAAATTACTAGTGAATCAAGAAAATAGACTGATAAGTGAATGACATATCATAAAAACAGTAGGGATGAAAGGATGGGATGGGAGTTGAAGTTAAATGATACAGGAGAACACAAAAAGGCATTGTGCTAATTAGACTCTCAGCTAAAGTTCCTGATGAAGAAGAAGCCATTTAAGCCGTTGACTCTTTAATGTTTCAAGTGTTGGATGATGTTCAATATCAGGACCCCTTTTAAGTGAATGGTATCACATGGAAAGACAGTGTTGAGCTGCATAAGAAAAGAGAGAGAGGCATAAGCTCTGAGAAAGGGAAAAGTGGAGCTTAGGGTTCAACGCATCTTTAATTATTATCTATTGTCTTATGAACATATTTACTTTCCTGGAGTAACGTGCTATAACCTTTAAGGATAAAAAATACATGATGCGTACACCTTCCATCCCTTCTCGATCTTCCAAGTTCCATACTTCCTTCAGATATTTTGGGGCTGGAAAAGGGATCTTGTAACTTGTCCTGTTGTTCCTATGGTAGAGTCACCTGCTTTTCCTCGTATATTCCCAACATCGTGCTCCTCTATTGCAGCCATGTTGTCTAGATGGCCAATGCAACCAGTTCAAATGAAACATGGACTGTGGATGTCAGGATAGAAACATTTGTATGTACAAATAGAACAAAGTTGTGTTGATTTCACCTGAAATTACTCACCCAAAAGACACACTATGTGACTATCTTTCATTCGTAAAAGACAATTATGTTCTGTAATATACAAATCTACATGGAGGGGCAACTATTCATGGTCTTCTTGTGTATGTGTGAGCTCTCCCTTGGAAAGGGATTGACTCCAACGAGTTGGTCACCAATCTTTGACCCTGCTGAACGAAATCGTAACTTCTTGGTTCCAACCAGTGGGGGTCAACCATGCATGCAAGCAAAGGAAGTGCGTTGTTACTGGTAGTGATACACTATGCTATTATTGGTAATGGCCTTTGCTTTACCTCGGTGGGGACCACTGGCCGCAATAATTTCAGGCCAGCTGTAACATTTTGGTTACCATATGCACGTGCTGGGCGAAGACCTGCATCACCATGTTGAACACAAGAGAGCCTCATGTGGGCATGTGACACTAGGTGAAACCCGTGCTATAGATTTAATCTCCCTTCAATTATTTGGCATCAATTATTTGGCTTGTGACTAGTTATAGATGATACTTGTTTGTTGAAATGCCCTTGTGATGGCATTGGACATGGTTTTTCCTTGTGAAGGCTACACGGTGTTGTGACTTCCTTTCTTGGGCATGGTTGGTTCAAACCTTCTATTTAGAGATATGTATATTCTTTTCTTTTGACTGTTGATATGATATGACATTGATACTGATACACTGTACTCCTAGAATATTTTAAGCGTAAATTATAAAATTTATAATATGGACAGAATATGATCATCCATAAAGACATGCAATAAAATATGTATCAATGTGCCGGATATAATGCCAGCACCTGTATCTGTATGCTAGTTTTCAGGAAATGCCAAGTCTTATCCCTGCTTTCACTATCCACGTCCATATCTATAACAGCACTTGGCCATCTTGGGCTCGAAATGGCCTGGAGTGGGAATAGTGAGATTTAAGCATCCTTGAGAGGGAGAAAAGAATGTAAGTGCCTATTTTGGAGGAATTGTGGGCATTCATGGATCTTTAAGTGTGTGTACTAAAAGCGGCCAAGCTTTGCAGTCCTTTGGGGATGTAAATAAAGCCCCTACTCAGCAATATCATGTCTATGGGTCGAATCCCGCCAGGCATAGTCACATTGTTTCATTGTCAAAAAAAATAAATAAGGCCCCTAGCCTGAGCATGGAGGATAGGAATGGACTCCATGGAGAAATTGTAAAGGACTTTGACTTGTGCTTCGCATGGTGTTTTGTCTAAGGTGCTCTAGCCTGTTAAAGAGACTTGTATGTGTTGTATGTCATGTTTTTGTTTTTCTACTTCCTTTGTAAGGCTAAAACTCTTTTTGGCTAGTGGGACCTAGTACATTGGCGTGTAACTCTATTTTTGGTTGTTGCAATGCAACCGATGACAAAAATCATTTGCATTTTCATTCTCCCATTTGTTGCTATTTCATGTCCAACCATTCTGATATTGGATTTTATAAGAGGTGGAGACACCCACTGTCCCATGTACTACGACAATGTAAGCCAGTAGGCAAACCAAATACAGAGCCAGGTTGTCCAAAATCTTGGGCCTATGAATCTTCAACACAGTTCATTCCATATTAGTCTTCCTCTTTTTCTATGTTATATAGTTGTAATGAACTCCTCTTTGGGACAAATTTCTTACTGGAAAATAAAATAAGCTTGTAAACTGTTCTCAAATTACTTTGATGAGACTTTTTATTTGCTTTTGATGAATATTTTTTCTTAATTGGTGTGGCGTTTCATTATTTAAAGGTCCTTCCAACCATATTGAATCTCTTCTTTTTTTCTCATGAGTGGCAATCTCAATCAATTAGGTTATTGCTTTTTCTTAGCTTGTTTAAGCTATACAGGAGTAGTACTGGTACATATGTTATTGAATATCCTTCTGCTATTTTAGATTCACTACTAGTAGTGAGGTTTGGCTTTCTCATCTGTTTGAGGTGTGTAACTCACTGCTTAGATTTCAGACACGAGCTCATGAGTGGCTCTTCTGTTCAGAAGAAGGACAATGGATGGTTGTTGAAAGTGCAAAAGTGGCTCGTCTAATCATGGTAATTCCTGTAATAACCAGGCTGCTTCTATAACTTTTTAGGATATGCTGTTATCTTCTAATTCACATATCGTAACATCTTAATTGTCTTGTTTTCGATTTATTATGCTAATCCAGGTATTCTTAGGCTCTGAGCACAACAATGTTGGCATGGACACTATCCAGGTAGTGACATCAGTTGTGTACATTACATTCCCTTTTTGAAGGTATTGTTTGGATGAAATTATATCCATAAGGTCCAAATGTGAAATCTTTTCTGACATCTTTTTGTTGGTTGCTTTTTCAGAAGGACCTCTCTCCACTAGTAAAAACGTTGGCACCTGAGCATCCTGATAATGGAGATCAAATCCCGTACGCTTTACATTTTAATGTTCAATTTTTGTTTCCTGCATTTTTCTCTTCTATTCCATTCAATCTATGTTTTTCTCTCTACTTTTAGATTCTGCTCTCGAGTTATTCGGAAAATGTGCATATCCCTGTTGATTTTACATGCTCTTGGAACACAACTCTTCTTTTGTACAAGCTGAACCTAATCTAATAAAAGATGTCCCTATCACACAGTGTTCACAAAATCAAACTGGAACGGTTAAATGGACATGGGCCTAGAAGCGGTTTAACCGGCCTAACCAGGAAACTGGTCGATTCAACCGCTCTAACTGGGCAAGTCCCGAGTGGTCAAAAAAGTGTTGAAAAAAATAAAAAAAATACAAAAAAAAATCTGCTAAAATATGAAAAGCATAGAAAGAATGATTAAAATAAAACACATTCACATGAAGTTGAAAAATACTGAAAAAAATGGATTTTAACCCATTTTATATTTTTCAAGGGCTATTTTTAAAATTTCTAAAAACGATGGGAAAATATAAAGTGAGTATTAATGACCAAAACAATTTTTAATCTTTACGATAATGTAAAGAATATTTAAAAATGCATTACAAATCAAATTCCTTCTTTTTGAGAATTTATATACATTTTTTTGAATTTCTTTTTTAAAATACAGGTTGATCACCCTAACTGCCCAAAACCGGAACAGGCCACTGGCCGGTTCTGATCTAACCGGGCGGTTAGCGGTTATATCAGGCGATTTTGCGAACAATGCTATCACATATATCCAAACATTGACATTCAAGCCTAGGAATCCATTTCTTGTGTGTCCCCATCCCTGCCCTGCCCCCCAAAACACACACAAAAAAAACCCCACCATAAGAAAAAAAGGAAAACAAAAAGAAAAAAAAACTCCACCCTCCCTTTCTCTACTATCTACAGTAGCCTTCAACAAACTTTGCTAATTAAGGGTTCTTTGTGAGTCGCTTTTTATTAACACAGATTCCGTGCTTTTTTTTTCTTGAGAGGAAGAGAAAGGTTAACACGCGGAATTTTTTTTTTTGACATTTCTTGTCCTTTGTTTCATGGTTTTTGAGTTTTAGTAATAAATGTATTTTTGTTGATGATAAGAAAAAGAAAGAAAAAAAAAAAAGCACAGAAAAGAAAAACTTCAGCCATGCCACTTGCTGTTTTGTGCCCACTCCAATGTCTAGATGCACCATTTTTCACAACTGATTACTTTATCTTATCTGGGAATCAGTGGCTTGACTAATTCCACTGGCCTCTTTATGGGGATGGAGCACTGTTGCCTTTTCTAGTTATTTCCTCTGGAATAAACATTGTGGCTTTTGCTATTCAATAAAATAAGGCAAATCTGCCTATTCAGATTGACTAACATAGATTTTGGGTCATTTGCAAAGAAGTCGCTGTAGCCCAAGAATAGGAACCCCATTCACAGGCCATTTCAAAGTAGTTCTTCCTTTAATTTTTTTTTTAAAAAATGTGAAGCTGTTATAAGTAACATATGTTTCACTCTTTTTGTGTTGCCTTGCTTTTGGCTGCATAATTTTGTTCTGTTCAGTGATATCTTGCTGCTTTTAATTTTGTTTATGTAAGATAATTTTGTTCTGTTCAGCGACGTCTTGCTGTTTTGGTTATGTATGCTTGGTTTATGGCTGGAGTTTTTGGTATAATTCTTGGCTTGTTTGTGTTGAGAGACTCAAACAGAGACTTGAACCTAGAACACAAATGTGTGTATCACATTACACTATGAGATATGAGGTGCATCTTGTTGTGATTTGCCTTTGGACGAATATGAAAGGGGTTTTCTACCACCATGTGGTCTGTTATTTGGATTGATGTTTGATTTTCTATTTATGGGTGGAAGAGCCATGCAATGGTTTGGTCTCTGATTGTGCAATAATTGGCTTATGATCTCTCTCCATTCTAAGTGGCTGAATTCTAATGGCAGGTTCATGATGGCTAATGATGGTGTGAAGCAGCGAAATATTGTTCAGCAGGTGATTCTAACCCTGGCTAGCTATATCTGCTATTTTCTTTTCTTTTCCATGGATAGTATCTGCTTCTATCTTGCTACTTTTTCTCATCTGGCTTGTTTTTTGTAGTTACTGTTGCATTTAACTTCTCAACTGCTGCTTTATTTGAATATATCCTTGAGAGTCATTCCATTCCATTCCTGTTGATGTTCACCTTTTTATAGGTAATGTGTGGGAGTTTTTTGTTACAGCTGTTCCTTTGATCATATGGTCACTAAGGCACAACTTATTATAGTAGTTTTGATAATTACAGTTTATCATAAAACTTTGAGTTCCTGCTATAAGACATGACTCTGTAGCTTTAATATTGGATATTTTTTCCTCTTATGGTGAAAATAAATGCAGACAGAAGCCTACATCTAGTGGTTGAGGATATGTCCCTATCTTGGCTTATGTTTTCAGTGATACACAATAATAGTGTTAAAAGAACCAGAATTTCATATCACAACTGCAGTGGGCATTTTGAGGCTAAGTTTTGGGAAGTTGTAGCATATTACATGCCCCTAACACTATTCTTGGGTTTTTGACATTCTCCTAATTTAATTACTTATAACATTTGAAATTGTCATAGGCTTCAATGGTATTGCAACTTCCATTCAGAAGCAAGGAATCAAGGATATTATTTGCTAATTGTAGTGGACCCATGATTGTTATTAGTTGCAAACCTGTGATATGTGGTGAATTCTGGCATATTCAGGCAAAATGGAGATTAGACATTATGGAAGTTTGGTTTAAAAAGATCTTTTTATGGATGTTGCGCTGTTTGTTTTTGAATGGAGCGAAAGCTATGTATTTCACTATAAAATGGTTACAAGATTTGGGATTTCACATCCAAGAGTAGAGTCCTGGTTTTCTGGTCTCTCGAGCTTCTCTGGAATGGGACCATTGACTACAATAGCTGCATAGAGAGATATTATGTTTGGAAGGATTTGACACTTAGGAGGGGCTGGAAGTAGATGTTTGATGCCACAAGTGTCAGCTGATTCAATATGGTTAGAAGATCAAACTTTGTTGGTTAGTATTTGAATAGTTTCTGGTGGTTTCATCAATTTGAGATTGAGGATGACTCTCTTAACGATGTGACATTGTTTAAGGGAGACCATTTTTCACCTGGAACACCTGAGGGGGCTTTCGTGGAGATGTCATACCTGTGGGTAACAATCAATGTTTAATATGTCATTCATATTCCTTTGGGGAGTCCAGCATAATTTTGGACCACCTTCTAGTTCTGAACATGTCTAGGAAAAAACTTGGTTATATTACTCCACAGCAATTTATTTAACTGATGTTGAAACACTTTGGCCCTGTCTTGAATTTTCTTTATTATTAGTTTGGGGAAAATTTTTTAGCACTCCGCTGAGCCATAAACTTTGAGCTGTAGATTTTTTTCTGTTTCCAAACAAATAATTCATAGGAAGGACCTAGTATCCGGATTTCTCTCCTTTCCACTAAATGGAAAATAAACGCGCATACTAATGAATAATAGGATGATTGTGATTCAGTAAGATTGACATACCGAACTTGTTAATTATGTCACGTTCAGCTAGTCTCCTGAATTACAGATACTTGCAAGAGTTTCTTGAATGATGGTTTGGCTTAATCTAGATGCCTAAATGTTATTAAAAAAACTATATGTTACCAATTCATAAGGAGGTTTTTCAGGTTCTCTGAGTTGAAGCATGTATCTCATTAATCAGGTATCTTTGTGGACTATGTTGGACTATGTTGGTGAAGACTTGAGCTCAGCTCCATGGCCTTGCACATTTATGTGCATGTGGGGGTGAATCTGACCCTTGATACCAGTTTCCTTAACATAAATGGGTGACTTATATGCGCTAGTATGTCTCCCTTGGATGATGAATACTGTCTTTGAGATTAACAATTGTTTGCAGTCAATCATGATTGTTGTCTTGTAGATGTTTGTGTCATTTTTATGAAGGCTAATGCAGCGATGATATGCTTCCTGGCTGAGTTGGTTGGACTTGTTCTGTCGGAGCAGAGTGAGCTCCTTCTTGGTGTTTAATTGGAGCTGCCGGCTCATCGTGCTTGTTTCGCTTTGTTTCCTCTTTGTTTTTTTACCAGCTCATTTTCTCCTTATTGTTGAAACAAAAAATCCTCTCCTATTCCTTGCACAAGACACAAACCTCGTGAATTTGAAACTTCCGTAAAGGTGTAACTTGTCTGAATCAAATTATGGTTCTAGTTGATTGTTTAAAGACCCTTGTTTAGAGCTATGATACCCTCACAAACTACATGTGCACATATTGTCCTAATATGAAATGTTAGTTGCATGGGGGCTGCAGCATACAACTTTTAGTTCAGTTTCTTTGATGGTATAGTTATTTGATGGTATTTCTTTGGTGACCATTTCTTTCAGATGTGTCTATGTTAAGGTTCAGCTATAAAACTCATAGTAGTTTGAATGCATGACTTGATTGGCCTTGTTGGTTTGGAGGAGATGGTCTCTTACTACAACGTAGTTCAGTCTTACTAACTGTTGGCCATGTTCTATCATAATTTGTTGCCTGTAATCTGGTTTAATGATTCTAGTGTGTGAACCTTGTATTTTGTTGATTTATGTTTATTTTCAGTGCTCCAGTCGTGGTTTTTTCTTATGGTATGTATGCTTCAAAAGATTTGGGTGGTGCACATCCCCTAGTCTCTGGTTTTTCATTTCATTACCTACTTTTATTTTTTTTCTGTAGGTTACATCTCCTACAACTGGACTAATAATTGTTGAAGATGTGATATATGAAGAGAGTCCTAATGGTACTAATTCCATTCCATTAAAAGCTTTGGTCTTCCGCCGTCTCACTTTTGAGAGAAGCTTGGGTTTGGTGCAATCTGAATGCTTGCTTAAGGAAATGGAGCCTTGCCAGAAAGATGTTGCCAAGATTGCGAAAAAGAAAAAGAAGTCACGTCATAAATCAGACGAAAATATACGTAAAAAAAGAGCTGACTCAAGCTTTTCAAAAGGTACTTGGATGGTTTTCTTTTTCTTTATGAACTTTTCTACAGTTTATCGTGCAGAAGGGGGCACAATGTGCTTTGCCTAGTATTCTACTTTGTGGCACATCTGAATGATCTACTTCTCTATTTCACATCCCTGTGTCTCGGAACCATGTTATATAGTAAAAACTTGGAATCTGTTCATCGTTGATGAATTTGTTTCCAAATATGTGATACAGATTAGGACCTATTGTCGTGATTTCAATGACGGTGTATGAGACATAGAAATCTAATGTCTATTTCATCACAGGGAATTTATGGGGGAAATCAGCGTCTATAAATAGTTAAGAAAACTGCTTTTTATAATAGAATAGCCCATATTATTCTAATTTAGTGTAAGTGATATATTAGCATGACAATAATTTGATGGGGCTTCTTTATTCAAGCTTATCCTTAAGTAGTTTATATGTTCGCTCTTTACACTTTGTTAATGGATGGAACTAGAATCCCTCTATTTGGAAATTGATTCTGCACAAGTCACCAGCTGGCACCTTCCATGATTGACAGAATTGGTATTTTGCCTTGCCAGGTTTATTGTGGATTGAACTGGTATCAGAGGAGGTGTTATATATATATAAAACGTGACTACAAAGGGAACGTTAAGAGGGGGACAGGATACCCACACACGGGTTCCACCCCCAAAAATGGGCTACCCACAGATGGGTGCCCGATACAAAAACACAGATAGGCCAAAAAATGCTTTACATAGTTGAAAAAACCATAATGGAGATCAAAACCATGCTGAGATAGGGGAACCAAGCAAAAAGCAGTTCCCTATGAGTGAATCAGGTTGGCATGAGATAAGGTTGCAGCTGCCTTTGCTAAGGAATCAGCCTCACCATTTGCTTCTCTCCAAATGTGATTCCACAAGATTTGTAGAGTCCTAGAGAGTTGGCGAATCTCCTCGAAAAAGCTCCCTTGAGAGTTGCTTCTACTATTATCTTAGTAGTGCTACTCTAGATCCGTCATTATATAAAAACTCAACCAGATTAACCATGCTTGTGGTTCAGAATAGATCTTAATTTCATCCATTTTAAAATATTTAAAATATTTGACCTACTTTGCACCTCGCAGTTATATGGTCTTCAAGCTAATCGATTCCACTAAAATATCCATTGCATATTATCATTACAATTTGAGGTTGTTTTAAGTTCATGCAATATTAAATATCATAATGCTGGAGATGATTTGATTATGTGGGGGAATCCTTTCTAGTTCCATTTTCTGAGAGAAGTTCAGAGAGATTCACCATGTAGAAGCTCGCAATTATTCTTCAGCTAGGCAAGGAGATTACTAATATATCCATCATCATCAAAGCAGTATTTCACTCTGGAGTTACATTTTGGCTAGGGCTGGCAATGAGTGGGGCCTGGCCCAGGCAGGCCCAGCCCCATGTCGCGTCCCGGAGCCTTGGCCCCAGGCAGGCCCTGAGGCCCAGCCAACTGCCAGGATCGTTGGCCCCAGGCAGGGCCTGAGGCACAGCCCACTGCCAGGATCGGGCCAGGTTGGTTCCTGTTTTTCCATTATATGTAGCTGGGCTACGGACTGCAGGATTGGGCCTGGACCAAATGAATTCTGGGTCCTAAAGTTCTGTCTTGGGCTTTCTTCCTGGGTCAAATATAGTGGCCTGGGCCCTGTTTAAACCAGGAAGGGCTGGAGTGCTTGGCCTGTTGCCTACCTTAATTTTGGCTTGCCATAAGTAAACACATTTAATTGGATTCAAAGTATACCTACGTGTTTTTTGGTTTGGTGTCTTGGCTTATTTATGGGGGCTTGGGGCCTGAGTGCTGCAGCAGGTGCATCAAATATTCGCTGCCTTCTTAAAGCAAAAAAGAGAAAGTCATACCTAGCTGATGTATTCACAAGGTTTGTCTGACAAAAGTAAAATTGAGTATCCCTGATCTTTGTCGTGAAACTTGGCTAGAATATCTTTTTGCTATGAGATGCAATGGTGCTTTTATTAGTTAGGGATTCTGGTCTATAACTGTGCTCCTTTTTTAATATTTATAATGATGTTTCCAGTTTCATGTAACGTCTTATACAATATATACCCTGTACTATCTATACAAATAAATTATAACTGGGTTCTTGTAATGTCTGTGAATAAGGTCTACCTCAGGATGTGCATGTCTTCTGTCTTGATGATAAGTGCATTGGTGTCAATGCATATCTCCTAGCCATTTTTGTATGGGTTAGAAAGCGTAATTGCATTTGGGATGGTCCTACACCATCCATCAATGACTGTCACTACTTAAAAACCTCTATACTGTTTTTCTTGACCTGGACTATTGAAAGTTCCTTATTGTTTGGTGCCGTTTAGCTTTCCATATTTTGTGATTCACTTTCTTGTGAAAATGGAAAGACGTTCAATGTTCTTTGGTGAGAATCTGTATGAGTTCAGCTCACAGGGAATGAAGTAGTACATGGTTTTAACTTCTCTATCTTGAAGAGGATTGTTACAAGTTGTATGATGAGCTTGTGATTGTTTTTGCTTGTTGGCAGAAAAACTGGGATATTGATTATGTTTTAAACTTCTGTGAAATAGTAATCTCATGGTTATTGTTGCATCTATTCTGGATCCCTCAAAATTCATTAGTTCACTTGGCTTCCCAAACACCATCCTTTCTTTGACCAAGAATTACTTTTCCATTTCATGCTTAATCAATTCACAGTCTTTTTCTGTTGTTATTTATTTTTATTTTTTAATGCAGTCTGTTCTAGCTTATGTACTTTTTTAAGTATGTCATTTATATATTTGTACTTTTCTTTGTCTAGAATCCAGAAACAATCTGAAAGTTGATCATTCCTATTTGGCTAGTTCGTATCACAGTGGAATCATTGCTGGGTTTGCATTGATATCTTCTGCACTAGAAAATATGGCTTTGGCCAGGACAATGGTAAGGGTGATTATTTGAGACCTTTTATATTATTATTCTAATGGAAAATGGGCAAAGAAGCTTTTCCCTGCTGATTCAACCCCCAAAAGAAATTTATTTAAGAGTTTCTGAATTAAGGATTTGATATAATTTTCAACTTTTTACGACTTTAATGAAGGGTTTATTTTTCAGGTTAATACCTTTATAATTGGTCTTGGAGCTGGTCTCCTTCCCATGTTTTTGCATAAACATTTTCCATTGATGGATATTGAGGTACATTTCACATTCTGGATTTTCTGTAAGTTTGCTGTATAATGGTAATCTATTCTGGAGGTTGATTAAGCTAGATGGATTGGGGAACTGTATGATGATCACACAGGTGGTAGAGTTGGACCCAATTGTTCTAGATCTGGCGCGAAATCACTTTGACTTCATAGAGGATATACATTTGAAGGTAATTTATATTTCATCTGTGTTAGTGATGATGAATTATTCAATAATTGTATTCACTGTTTTTTTTTAAAGTCATTATTACCAGTAGATCGGTTGGATAGAGCACTCAAGTGTATAATGGACTGATTATGGGTTAATTCGCTGCATCCATCTATTTGCAATTTTGGTATTGTACGGTTGATAGCATAGACTAACTATTTAAAATAATAAGGAAAAGGGAATATTTGCAACATTCTCCAGGGAATATTGATTTTTCTTGTGTGGTGAATGTGGCCTTTCCTAGAGATTCTCTGGTCTCTGTTCTACAAGATGTTCTGCATATTTTTCTCAATCAAATGGGAGAAACTTCAAATTCATTGTAATTCCTGTAGTTCCTTTTAACAAAAACTCTTTTTCATTTCAAGGGCCAAAGGGTTGCAAGTATCAGCAATGAATTTGGCTTATTGCTATATGAGAATTTTTCTGGCATGAAGAGTTGAGATCATTGTTAGAAAAACTGGGCGATCTAACCGCTAACCGCCCGGTTAGATCAGAGGCCGGTTCCGGTTTTGGGCGGTTTTGGTGATCGACCGGTATTTAAAATAAAATAAAATAAAAAATGTATATAAATTCCCAAAATAAGGAATTTGGTTTGTAATGCATTTTTTAATATTCTTTACATTATGGTAAAGATTAAAAATTGTTTTTGTTATTAATACTCACGTTAATTCAAAAATCGATTCGTTAAAATCTATTGTTTTCATTAATTTTCAACTTCATTTGAATATGGTTTGTTTTAATCATATTTTATGTGCTTTCATACTTTAGTAGAATTTTTTTTTTGTATCTCTTTTATTTTTTCAATACTTTTTTGACTGCCTGGGACTTGCCAGGTTAGAACGGTTGAATCGGCCGGTTTACCGGCTAGGCCGGTTAAACCGCTTCTGGGCCCATGTTTAGTTAACCATTCCGGTGCGATTTTGCGAACACTGGTTGAGATTGACATTGGGAAACGAGATAGCATTATGCTGATTGCTATCAACATTCACAAGAAGCATTATAGGCATTGGGGATCCCATACTATTTAAGTGTGGTGGAGCAGAGCAAAATCCTACTGTTCGTAATCATGTGATGCAGGATTGGAATAAAGGGAATGAGTTGCATGTTTCTGTTATCCCCGTATGCGGATGTTAGCGGTATGCTGTGTTATAGGAGTGCATCCAAAATAATGTTGATTGAAGTGCCAGGGCATGGATCTTAGATCTGTGGATCAGTTTGTATCGTACACTCTTTAAGTATAATGGCATGGTTGATCCTTAAAAAGAAAAGTGGAAGAAAGGAGAAGAAGAGAAGACTATAATGGCATGATGAAGGATCTAATCAATAAAAAGAAGCTATCGACACCACAAGTTTGATCTGCCTTGACTGATTCAAATTTTCCCCCCTCCTAGTAGGTATCAGACAAAATTCGGGGTTGTGTTTCATTTGGTATGGAGGGAAGATAGTTTGGTCTATTCTCGTATTATTGTACTCTAGGTTTTTGGTCAAAATGATAACCTATATGGTTCATAATATTTGGATTACAATGATCTTTACATGTTTCTCTTTGTTTTATTGTTAACATTTTATGTATGTTCAATAGTGGTTTATATCATTGCAAAACTTGTGCTGCTGCTGGTAGAGTTACCAAACTTATCCCTCACACAGCAAAGAAACTGGAAAGCATCAAGTAAAGCTGCACAAAAATACCACAAATAAAAGAGGCTGCAGAAAACTTCTATTGACATATGACAAAATTTCTATGAGCATATAGGTATGAGTTGTTTCAGATTTTCTTGGTTGAAGTGAGTGCTTTGGTTGTGATTTCCTTAACTGGATGAAATTTGGTGATTGTTGCACCATAAACAAAGTATTACCACAACAATTTTAATTTCATAATTTTTAAAGTGAGGTGAGAATTGTTGCAGTGATATGAAAACCTTTCCCATGTAATTTTAGAGAGAATTTCATTAACCACCGGAAAATTCATGGACAAACTCTGTGCACACTTCATCATGATTAGAAATTCAACAGTACTTTTTTTTTTTTTTTTACGGTACTTGTTTTTTTTTTTAATAGAGCAATTAGGGACATTCCGGCTTAGCATTGTCATCTTGATAATTTGAACATTACTAGTTCCCAATGCCCATCTTTGGCAAATGTTGGCGTATGCAAGCCTTTTCATGAAGAAGTCTTTGTGTTTGTCTAACTCTGTGGCACTTACTGTTGAAAAGAAACTTGGTAGCATTATCTGAACTGTCCTTGCAGTTGGGTTTGGGAGGAAACCCCATAAACGCAGATGTGGGTTCTTAACTAACACTTTCAGTTATTTATATTTTTATTCTCAGGTACAAATTGCTGATGGAATAAAGTTTGTCAGAGAGATGACAACTGCTTCCACTTTGTCAAATAGGGATGACACATCTGGAAATGATATTTACTGTGAAGCGAACTTACCTTCACTTCAAGGAAGTAAAGGACCTCACATACTTATCATTGATGCCGATTCAGCTGATTTAAGGTTAGATAAACTTCATATTTTGCTACTAAATCTTCTCTTTGATCTTTACAATATCACATCTCTAATGATATGTCCCTTGTATTCTTGCAGCACCGGGTTGACATGTCCTCCTGCAGATTTTACTGAGAAGTCTTTTCTTCTCTCTGTGAAAGAAGCACTTTCTTCTGAGGGCCTCTTCATCATTAACTTGGTTTCAAGATCCTCTTCCATTCATGAGATGGTTGTTTCAAGATTGAAAACTGTATGTCCTATGCGCATGGACATTGTTGCTCTGATGATCGTGACATTTTCATAGTACAAAATTGAATATGAGCTATAAAAAATCTACTATTCATCTACTTTCTTTATGAAATAAAGAAGCTGTCCATTTCTTGAAACTTGGTCGTATTTGTTGTCATTTGCAGGTTTTCAGTCACATTTTCTTTTTGGAGATTGAGGAAGATGTGAATAAGGTTTTATTTGTGCTCCCCAAAGAGCCATGTATTGAGGGTGATCACTTGATGGAAGCAGCTGGTCGACTTGAGAAGCTCTTGAAAACCAGCCCATCTGAGAAAGGCCCAAATATCAGAGACACGGCAAGGAGGATCAAGCGCCTATAAGTGGGGCACTGGTATGTGAAACATGCACACTGTTTAGATGTTTTCATCATTTGATTGTCTTGTTGGTAGATAGTCATATGTGGTATTTCAAGGAAATTGCTTTTTATCTAGGTAATTTCCTTACGCGTACCAATTTTTTCACTACACATTATTATAATTTTGTGAGTCTGAAGGAATAATACTGAGCAAAGGTGAGTGCTAATCTGGAAAGAATGTCCCTCAGATATCTGGCCCTCTCTTTGAGCTAGCCAATCCTCCTGGAGCTGTGGAAAGTAAATCGTGAAAAATGACAGCACTAAATTTGAAATCTCCCCGTGATACTGCATAATCTCCTAAGAGCCTAACATTCCCATCTTAGCCTCCTTAATGCGTTAGTGCATTAAGAGAGCCGGCCTCATCTTTAAGGACTTGAAAAGCTATGTTTGCCTGAAGAGGAAACTGGCAAAGGGGGACAAGAAAAGATCAAGTTTGGAAAGCAACAGAAACGTTGCAGAAACCAACCAAATCACGAGGAAGAGACACTAGGGTATGTTTTTTGGTGGAAGCCATGGCTTCGACAAATTTTAGCACTCCCTTATTTGTTACACAGGAGTGGAAACTGCAATTTGGAAGCTGCTGCTTCTAGTGCCCTAAAAATGATGTCAATTGACAATGTTTTTAGGAGGCTGCCACTTCCATGGCAATACACGGAAGTGGCAGTGGCAGCTTCCAAACTTCGTGGCAGCCCCCTCTTCCACAAATCAAACGTGCCCTAAGAAAAAGATGGGTGGATGCGTGAAGTGTGAGAGAATTGTTGGTGTATGTAGGGGAATATTGGCGATGTGAAAGGACCACCTTAGAAGCCTTAAAAAAATGAAAGGAAACATGTTAACATCAGAATTTTCCTCACACAAAAACTAAATACACACTGCATATTATCTTTGTGGCATCAGTATTCAGGGTTTTTAAGCTTTGACATGCGTACATGTTTGCCACAATGGTTTTATATATACATTTTCCAACTGTTATGAAATAATGCAGCGTAAATCGTTGCTGTAGAACTGTTTTGTATCCTTTTAGTATGTAAGGGTATTGTTTCTTTTCTTTCAGCGTCATAGCCTTGAGGCACTTGGTGGCTACCCTGCCGTCAAGCTTCAAGCTTAGTTTGAGATACGACCCAATCTGTCCTCATCATGCAGGGAATGTCAACCATTTTACAGTCCCATATTGGTTGATGTCTAGTGATGAATTTTGATGACACAAGATTGATTTACAGATTGATCTCTATTGAATATTGACTGGTATTTCCCAAATTCTCTCTTGTTTGGTACAAACTATTAGACCATGTGTAATTATTTGCCCATCATATTGTGAGTGTTTGCTTATACATGACCAAATTTATGGTGTGCCTTTCGTGTGTTCATCGAAATGCATGTGTGCATATGTGCACTTGGTAATTTTAAGAAGAAAATTCCAAGTCTTATTTCTCCTCCATCGATGTTTTAAAAGTGGGCCCACGGGGACCTTAAGGTGCACCAAGGCCCTAGGTGGGGCCGCTTAAGGGCCCCCCCAAAAAAAAAAAGAAAAGAAAAGAAGAAAAAGAAGTCGTGCCCTAGGTAGGCCAAGGAGGGCACCCTCAGGCGGTCCTCTACCCCAAGGGTGGAAATATGTCCTTGAGTCTGGCCAAAAATGGAAACCTACCGACCTCCGCTATACCTTCCATGGGGAAAGAGGTGTTGTAACCCCCAAGGCTGAACTTTTAAATAGACAGAACCCCTTTGAAAGAACGATTTCATATTCTGTTGAAGATCGAAATGGCTAGAGCTTGACTTAGACTTAAAGGCCGGCAATAGGCCAGGCCCGCCATGGCCCCGATAGTGCAGACCCAAGCGCAGGCCTATCCGGATTGGGCTGAAGAGGCCTTGGCTCTGCCCAGCCCTAGTTGGATTACTCATAGTTTGTTTGTGCTCACGCGTCTTCTGAGAAGTTCTTTTCCAAAATGAAAAGAATGCTTCCATAGTAAAGGTAAAATTGGAAAGATAGCAACAAGCCTTTTTGAAATAATTGAATAAGGCCAAAATACCAATAATTTCTATAAAGTGCTGGAATGTACAAAAGATTTATATCACATGATCACATTGCCTTGCTTCTCTATGATTGAGTCAAAATAGCCTTGTTATAAGGTCTAAGGTCCTGCTTGTCTGCAAAGGTATGGTGGGACACAATTACATTGCAGCTCTGTGCCGTCATTTTTCCTCTTTTTTTTGGTTAAATAATGCAATATATGGTTTTCTATGGTAAGGTGCACCTGTGCAGCTGTATATTGTGGTAATACCGCAATATGGCACGACCTTAACTCATCCACGAACTAGACTGCATATGTGTTATTCAAAATTTGTAAAAAGAGTAAATGTGTAAGATTTTTGAAGTTATTTAATGAGTTTGTGCACAATATGGTAGCTGCATAAAGAATTGAGAAGCCGTGAGCCTACTGTTTGGAAACCAATTGGTCGCATGGTATGCTCTTCCTCTTTTGACATGTGATTTTAAACGATTTTTTCCTATAACTCTTACGAAAAGGGCTCTCTTTTTACTCTACTCTGTGTGTATATTTTTTTTACTGTTAAACTTGAGACTTTGGTACTATAGCTGACTCTTATCTCCTTCTTCTCCTTCTCTCTCTCTCTCCTTCTTTCTCTCTCTCTCTCTCTCTTTTAATTTCTGTTTTAATTTTGTATGTAACAGGTTTAAGGGTATATAGACGATACAAGGAAATCCAATTTGCGAACCCTAGCTAACCCATTGCAAAATGTAAATAAAAGGAAAAAAATTCATTGAGTAAATTGTGCACAGTCTAGAAGGTATGAACTTAAGCATGCCACTATTTGGGACACTAAGGGGTCACATATGTTTATATATACCAAA